ACACGTATCTTGTTAATATTTAAAAAATAACGAAAAGTGTAAAGACAATATGCACTATAAACCTTATCACACCGCACATAAAAACACACATAATTTATTTATTATATAAATCAAAAATCAATTTTATTATTAATTATAATTATCTAATTTATAATTATTATTATCTACTTTATGTTTCTATATTAGGTGTATATGTTCTTTGTTAATATTTAAAAAATAACGAGTAAAATAAAGACAATATAGACTAAAAACTGAATCACGTCGCAACGTTCTGATTTAAACATTCTTTCAATTTTTATGTAATTGTTTAAACTAATGTATATTTGTTTTAACATTTATGTGCAGCGAAGACTTCAGATGAGAAAATTTTTATCTAAAAGCATATCACATCGAAATTATAYTATATTTAAAGTATGTTAATATCTATGCAATTTTTAAACCAGTACATACATAGTATGTTTTTAAACAATCTGAAATATAAAAAGAGTACATTAGAATAATAGAATAATTGTTAATTAATTGATACAGAAATGTCTATTTCTGTTTAAAAGCTAGAAATATATGATGTATGTACCGTCCCCTTCGAAATTCACCGTTGAAATGAGACGTTGTCCTTTATCAAATTACTTTTATTCAATGTTGTTTATATGGCTTTCCTAACGTTGGGCGCATGTGTATAAAATCAATAATCCACTTAATCAATAAAATTTAAGATTATAACGGTCTTCTTTTGGTATTCTTTTAATTTTTATGTTATATTATTTTAATGCTCCTGCAGAGAGATCACTTCCAGGGTAACAATTAGCTGTAACATAAGAAAAGTGCATTAGTGCATTAAAATAATTGGTAATGTATACCTAATGTACACGTATATATAAATGAAAAAAGAAAGTACATTTCTCTAAGCAATTATACAAACAATGTATTAAGACAATGAATAAATAATATACGAATAGAAAATGTGAATTATTGAAGTTTACCTTTATGATAGAAGAAACTTGAAGTGTTTGCTTCTTTAAATACAAAAAATATTGCCTGGATTCATTTGAAAATCTTCCAAGTTCTTCTTTTATGTATGTACTTGATACATAAAACGATAAGAAAGCCTAATTGATGCTGTGCTTTTCCAAATCTTCAAATACTTGCAGATCGTACTTAGTTGATCTAATCGCGATTAATTTTGATATACCGATATTTCGATATTATAAATAAATGAACAAGAAAACAAACCAATTCGCGACGAATAGATTCTAGCAGTTAAGTGGTTACTCTAAGCCTAGTTTTTTTATTAGAACAGCCAACTTAATGAAAGGAGTCGTCCGAGGTTGTTTATATATATTTATTTTTTTCTTTTAAAATTTTTAAATATTAAAAAATTAAATTTAACAATTCTTACATAATCAAAAAGTAAAATCCAAATAAATTGTAGAGTCCTTAGCTGCTTAGAAAAATTTGTATAAAAATGTTTTTATATATTATATATTTATATGTTATATATTTATGTGCTTTTAATCATATTTTTTAGATCAGGATTTTCAGCTTCTAATATATTAATCTCCCGTTTCTCCCCCCTTTACTTTCTGCGTTCTCATCTATGCGTGTGCCCAGGTGCTACTCGTATGGGTAAGAATCAGTTAGTGTAGGTTTAGTTTTAAGTTTTTCCCTTATTGGCGACTGTTATTGTGCTAGTGACTGCATGGTGTACATTGCACCTGTGTGTGCGTATTAGGTGTGTGCATTGTACATCGTTTATCGCGATAATTTTTAATTATTACATTATTTTTTACTTGGAAAACTACTTGTAGAGTCATTAATGGTATGAAAAATATACCAATATATATATATATATTTGTATTTTTATATTTAAATTAAATTTTTCTACTTTTTTTTTTATAATAAAATCGTTTTGAATAGTAGAGTTACTGCATTTATTTGTGGAAACTTTGATATACTCGTACATTACTAGTATGCATATATACTAGTATGTACTAGTATTTTTGATGTAGTCATATTTGCAATAATCATTAGCCTTGGCAGTCGATTACAGCAAAATGTACGTATACCCATAAAATTAGAAAATACGCGTTTGAACTAGGGTGTCGGAGGTGCCCCGGGGCATGCTCTCTAGTTTAGGCTTTTGCATCCTGGTGGTATGTGAGAGAATCGTGGAGTGAGTGGGTGGGTATATATGTGTATTTGCTCTTTTTAAATATGGGTAACTAGCAGGCAGGTAGCATACTTTCTTGTGCGAATGTGAAAACTTTAATTTTAAGTAGGTAGGATCCAGGAAAGGCACGAGGTTTGTTTCCATTCCGGAGTGGAAATTTCGACTCCTGGTTTATACAGAATTGTTACAAATTTATATTATTTCGTTTTATTATGCTTGCATTGTAAATTTATTTTGTGACTCTTCTGTAATCTTATTATGTATCATGAATCAAATGGATTTGCTACGATTTGAAAGATTTATTTCTATTTCGATTCTATCTAGAACGAGATAGAGTTGAACAAATTCGCAAATTCTTTGATGAATTTGATACTTAGTTTTAAGTATTACAAGATTAGCACTTCGCACAATCGCGACTTTATCTTTTAATTAAAAATATTTAATATAATTCAATATAACGAATGTGAATGTGAAATGAAAATATTGCAGGAAAATGCATTACATTTATTGCATTATTTATTTCAATTCCATTTTATTACTTGTCAATATAAGTACGATGTGTTATTAGGTCATCGATAATTATCTGCTTGGACATTCGATTAATTGTGCTCGTGTCTATTTTAATGAACTCTAAATTCATTGATGGTTCACGAGCTTGAATAGTTAACGGAAAATGTAAATTAATTTTGTAATAATTGAGAATTATAGAGAATTATAACAATATAAGTTTATATGCAAAAGTAGTATGAAAGATCTTATGTTGCTCGCACGTAGCAAATGTCCAATGCAGTTTTCAGGGAATGAAGAAAGAAGAGGCTAAATGCCGAAGAGGCTAAATGCCGAAGAGGCTAAATGCCGAAGAGGCCCCCACAAATTTGTGGTATTAAGTGGGCAACTACATAGACTACTGAGTTATTTTCAATGGTTCAACAGCAAGTTCGAACCTTTGGAACATAGCTCTTTAGTCATATTTTATATTTTATTGTATTACTTTTTTGCTCGTCATTAATTTGTTGTTGTAATTGGAGATGATGGACCATTCCATCTCCTTGGCACATCAAATCTGTGTCTAAATTGTCCAAAAGGTGCAGAAGTTTTTAGTTAGTTAGAGTCTAAAATATTACAATTCTCTCGTATTATTAAATTTTGAAATTTGATTAACGTTCAGTAAATATTACAGTCATTTCTTTTTTATTGTTTCGTCTTTAAGATATTTTACTATCATTGTATTTTATTAAATTTGCAATTTTTCTTTTGTATATAACGTAGTTTAAAAGTATTTTTATTAGTAACTTATATTATAATATTCGTAATTTTCCTGTTTCTTTATTAATTATATTTTTTAATGTAAAATCACGCGTTTAAATTATATTTTATTTTACAAACGGTAAATAGAGATTGGATAAAAATAAATAGGGAATTCAAATGAAAAGTGCATCTGTGAATTGGACCACTTATATGTTAGGCTATTTTATCACTTGATTGTATGATTAATATATTTTGCTTTTTATTATAAGTAATCATCGTTGGACTTATCATCAAACCTTCTAGATTTTTTTTTTATTTCAGTGTCTTAAATTGCTTCATTTTAAAATATATATGTATAATGGCATTTCTGAAGGCACACATAAAAACTAAATATGACATATACATTATTTGAAATTCTATAACAAATATAGCTCTATATATTTATGAAAATGCACCCTTTTTTTTAATTATATTTTCTAGGGCCTCTCTGACTATCCCGTGGTTAGTAAAAAAGATAAACCAAATATAATCACGGAATGAAAAAAACAAATGGGCAAAATACCTTGTTGTATGTGTGTGGTAAACTTTCTTTTTCTATTTTTTTTTATTATTTTTTTATAATAGCTTATGTTTTTTTTAATCGTATAAAATGTTGAAATGGCATTGTTTGAAAATAATTCAATGACCTTATTCCGTAAGATTTTTTATCTCTGTTTGTATAATTAGAATTTAGTTAGATAAGAAAGTTCTAGAGACAAATTGTTGCCTTTGAAGGAAGAAGTTATTTCAAGCGTGTTAACGCATGAAAATGATCTTTCGAGTGTGTTTAGTAGCGGTTTTCCCTTTCACCTTTTAACATTCTTCCAATCAAGTATTCTGATATGGCTACGAACCAAGAATTTAATCACTCGTCAATTTATTTCCTCGAAATTTATTTATATCCTCTTACTTGCCATATAAAGAAAATGTTAAAAAGGAAATAACAAAAATTTCAACGTTACGTTTTTTATTTTCAAATAAATTTTCGATGAAAATTTATTATGAAAATTATGTTTTGTCAAAAATAAAAAGAAATAAAATGATTGGTAATTATTCGAAATTAATTATAATATAATCCAACAAGTGTAAACCATAAACATAACATAAGATAGTTTTTAGTATTTTTAAAACCATAAACATAACATAAGATTTCTTCAAGCTGTCACACCTTGACTACCTAATAACTAATTGAACAAATGACTCCTCCCCGTATTGTCCGTCTTTACCTTTTTACCTCTTTCTCCTCGAACAACCGAGCATCGGCTCCCCTCCACGGAGGACGCATACATCCTATGTTCATCACACTCAATCTTAAGAGAATTAATATACCACACACATCCGCATGCACTCACACTAGTACAGGCGCCAACATACACGAACCCGCATAAGGCGTTTACACAAGTATCTAATTATCTAATTTAAATTTTAATATGAAAATATTTTCATGAAATTAGTATTTGAAATCGATCAATGAATGACAAGATATAATTCGGAATATCCGAAAACAATGAATGAACATTTATCTATCGAAAATCGTTTATTGCAGAGTAAAAACGGTTGTACGTCAAAGCGACGTTTCCTGTCGTTAAGCTCTCTTCGATCAGGTACTATTGTCCCGTTTAAGTTATCGGACATCGGAGAAGGCATTCGAGATGTCACTGTGAAGGAATGGTGAGCAAAATGTTATTTGAGTGATTTTATCCTACAAAATCGACGTTTTATTTTTTTACTTTTGATTACTTTACTTATGATTTAACAAATTTCAAATAAAAACTAACTTTAAATCGCATCAACAATTATTCGAATAATATCAAATGTTTGTTTCTTTATTAAATGTGTCGCAAGGAAATTGGACAAGGTTGCGAATTTAAAACGTTACATTTCAATCTTATTGTACGTTTCGTCCCTTCATCGGAGCTTCTTCAACAATTGAAATTTTATTACGACTTTTTTCAATAATCAATATTATCAATCATTTAATACATAGTTATTTAATATTATCTCGATCGTTAAAGTTCAGAGTCTCTTAAATATTATTACAAAAACATACATTCTTATATTTTTTGAAATAATAAAACTATACTTAGCATCTATAAATCGTTATATCATAAATCATTAAATTTAAATACGTAATCAAAACAATACTGATTCAATCTAGACTAGTGTCTAATAATCTAGGTATCCTCACTATTATAGTGTTCTCTATATTACTGCGTCCTATTGATGATAATATTTCGTTATAAATGCCATTCAAATGATTTATGTCTGTTCTGTAATTAATTGTATTGTTATTCACTATGTGGTAGATTTCGCTTACGTTTTTTTCTACCAATTGTCTTCTATATCTAAAATTTTAGAACTAAATTTTAGAAGGGACGAAACGTTCAATAAGATCGAAATATAACGTTTTGTTACCCTGTCCAACTTCCCTCTAAAAAACACATTTATTAATAATTTTATTTTTCGACGTGATAAACAACTAGTTCGTTTTTTTTTTATTTCAATCAATTAATTATTAATCGTCGAAAAATCAATTTATTCAATCCAATTAATTCGTATCAAATTTTATATTAAACAACCAAAGACAATATGGAATTGTATTAATAATCATTATTCAAATAATATCAAGATTATATTTGTCTATTTTAATCGTCAATTAACGTTACTAACGACTCATATATTGTACAAAGGTTCCTGTATAAATTACTGACCCTTATAGGAGTAGTAAAAATGTGACGATAAAGAACGAAAGGGTTAATCGTAGTTTATTTGTAAAAAATTGAATATTACTCATACGAATTCCTCTTTTAGGTTTGTAAGACCGGGTGATAGAGTATCTCAATTTGATAATATTTGTGAGGTACAGAGTGACAAAGCTTCGGTGACGATAACAAGTCGTTACGACGGTCTAGTAAAAGAACTTCATTATAAGATAGATGAGATAGCTCTGGTTGGAGAACCCTTGATAGATATTGAGCTCGATGAGGAAAACATTGTTGAAAATGAGGAAGAAAGAAAAATAGAAGAAAATAAAGAAAAAGAAGAAGATGTAGTAAAAGATGACAAGGAGTTCAAAGAAAGGAATGATAAAACGAGCTTAGAATCTTCCAAGGACGTACGTTCTGAAAAAATTCAGATCATTACAACGCCAGCTGTCAGAAGACTGGCTTTGGAAAACAATATTAATCTTTGTGATATCACAGCCACTGGTAAAGATGGACGTGTCCTTAAAGAAGACGTATTGGTTTATCTAGAAAAACTTGATCCTAGAAAACAAATTCAGGAGGTTATTCATCAAACTGAAAAAAAGATGCCGATTAAAAAATATTCTAAACACATGTGGAAAACCATGACACAATCTTTGGTATATCAATTTTCTCTTTTACTTATCTTCCATTTTCACATCCCCCATTTCTATTTATTTTATTCTTTAATAATTCGCAGATAAAAATATTTTGTAAAAGTATGTTTCCAAGTACACGCGAATAATCGTAAAACGATCCTTGATATATTTAATGTTCATTTATTTTCGTTTTTTTTTTATTTTTCTTCCTCTTATTCCTTTCCTTTTACGAATTCAATACGCAAATATTTCAAAACTAAACTGACGATATTATTTTTTTAGAGTATACCACATTTCGTTTACAGCGACGAATACAACGTAACCGAATTGATGCGTTGTCGTAATGAAGTGAAAGATTCGTTCAAAGAACAAGGTATCTCTCTATCTCTAATGCCATTTCTAATAAAAGCTGCCTCGAAAGCATTGCAAACGATTCCCGAATTAAACGGTTTACTCGACGAGGAAAAACAATGCGTAGAAATTTCCGAAAGGCATAATATTGGTGTTGCCATGGATACTCCGGAAGGTTTAATTGTTCCAAATATAAAGGACGTTCAGAATCTCAATATTTTGTCTATTGCTAAACAATTAAACAGACTTCAGGAACTCGGTAAAAAATCATCGATTCCTTTGGCCGATCTCACCGGCACAACTTTTTCCTTGTCCAACATTGGCGTGGTAAGTTTCGTTTAAAAGAAAAAAGAAAAGAAAACAATCTTACAATTTGATTTTTTCTTCTCTAAAATTTAAGATACATTTTTGTACAGATCGGAGGTAATTACACAAAACCGGTTATTCTACCCCCACAAATAGTGATAGGAGCGTTTGGTAAAGTACAAAAGTTGCCACGTTTCGATGATAAGGATAACGTGATAGCGGCAAACATAATTGCTGTTAGTTGGGCTGCTGATCATCGGGTGATCGACGGTGTTACTATGGCTAAATATTCAAACTTGTTGAAATATTACGTGGAACATCCCATCGAATTGATCTTAGGATCATGAAATATAGATTTTCTTTTTTTATTTTACTGCGATAAAACAAATTGATAAGACTACGTTTTCATCACTTTACTTAAAATGATCGAGAGAATCTCTAACAATAAGTTTTATTAAATGTAAATTTGATGATCTTGCTAAAATTTTATATATAGATTATCGTTTAGAAATTATTTACGACGTATTGAAATAAATCGACAACTTTTTTCTTTTTTTATATTTCTTTATATTATTATTTCTTTTTTTTTTTTTTTTTATTTTTCTTTTTCTTATTTTTTTTACGTAAATATTTATTTCTTTATTTATTGCTGCACAACCAAATAGAATCTCTTTCGTACAGGTAAAATAGTATTTGTTCTTTTTTTTTCTTTCAACATATTGAAAATGTTGCGCTTTTATTGGCTTTTGGATCGATCGGCTTATGATGAACCGATCGTACGCAAACATTTTTTCTTATTATTTTATTTTACTTTTCATTATTATTATTATAATAATTATTTTGTTAATATATACATCAATCTATAGCGAATTATACCATATATGTATATACGTATTTATATTCTGAAGTATATACGACAATCATATCAAACATGCACGCTAATAAAGTGGTTGTACTAATTGTTTTTTAATTAGTCGTTGGCAAACAATTATAATTTTCTATTTTTTTTTTCCTTCGAATAACAACAACACAATAATCGACGACGTATCAATAACGATTCACAATACTATGATACGTTATTATTAAAATGTTAGATTATAGAATAACACGCTGATGAAGATCTAATAATAAAAAATGAAATTACACACGTGTATAATATTATTGTGTCAAATAATTAAATTAAAATCATAATCATAATAATAATAATAATAATAATAATAATAATAATAATAATAATAATAATATTTAAAGTGTATAAAGAGGACGAGTACGACCACTTGATTGATTTTTTTTCCTCATTCGCTTTACATAATTATTTATATACATTTGCGCATAACGTTATTCCCTCTTGCTATTTTTATTCTTTTTTATTATCTTTATTTTTAATTTTTTCTTTTGCTTTTTGCAATTTTTTTTTTCTTTGTCAATCATACACTAACACTCAGTCATTTTCATTTTGTCAAACACCCAGCTTAAAGTGTTATCGTCCAAAAGATAGTTCAGTCTGTTTAATAGTTAGAATAGTAGAAAAAGTGTGTATGTATATATATATATATAATATAATATATTAATGGTCCAAATCCGTTTAATAATACTTAATATATATATATATGTTTATAGTGATTGTTATTTGCTCACTCTATACTCTCTGTAAGAAGACGTAGAACGAGAGAACGTCCCTCACCTCTATTACTCTCTCTCTCCCCATCAACCCTCATTGCTTTCTATTAACTTAATTGTATTGGTGGTCCTAGAAAAATAAACGTACACAGACAAAAACAATACCTGTTCTTCGTGTTAATAATAATATTTTTTTTTTTAAATTTTAAATTAAATATCAAATGACATTTATAGTGTCTGCCATATATATAATACAAAAAATAT